CTTACCCCATTCAACTATTCATCGCACTTTTCCTACTGAGAATCGTAGGCAAATTCAATCAAGGGGTAGGTCATGACTCCTCACTGTGAAAAGAGTCCTTGTAAGAGAAGGTATTCGCAATTGCAACGACTGAGGGTGCCTATATTCTGAAATTTTGCTTAGAGAATCAGCTGCTTCTCACAAACACCCTTGTCGCAAAAAGGTGCATATAGGCGTAATGGACAATTGCTATTCACAAGAGTAATGCCTGACACAGACTACAATAAGATTATTCACCTGTTTACTCTGAAGTCGCCTTCACCTTTCATCCTCCTACTCCAAAAACAGGTTCTCCGAGTACATTCATGTAGACGCTAATTACCGGAGGTAAAAGATCAGAATCTCACATTAAACGTTGCGTACTGGTCGCGGTGTAGAAACACAAAAACATGCTCACCTAAGGGACAAGCTTTTTAATGACCCTTCTCACCAATTCAAGGCTTCTATTTTGCTGTGACCGACGTTGTGTCCTGGAATTCTCACCACTCGTAAACTGTAATTAGCCGCATCGATTGTTCGCCACATATATATCCTGAGAGCATTTTATGTACCATGCTTTCCAAATATAGTCAGTTTCGCATCAGTTCAAGACTAGAGGCACGCTAAAAATGTTTTTTCTTCGCGGAGGAAGAAAATGCGCCCGAATAAAATCGTCTAACGCTACATTGATTTCACTGTTACAATTCCTCTAAACTCGTATATAGAAACTAGATTTTCTGCACGTTTGCTGTGCAATAAATGTGCATTACAGCGAGTACACAATTTCTGCATAAAGTTTTTAAGTTAATGAAATAAATTCTTTAAATTCTCTTCTGTAATTAAAAGACGTCATTTTCAATCTCACTCACCTCTACAATAAAACTGGCTTTTAGTGATGCACCTATACCAAAGTTTCTCCTAAGCTTAAAATTTATCGATGAAGTTTAATGGCTATTGCCGAATAAAAAACACCTTAGTTTTTAGCGTTAGAACTTAAAGGCCCATGTTCACCCAAACGGCTTTGCGCGCTTGTGTTTTTGTTTTGAAACGATTCTTTTGTCAAATGCAGTGTTTTGATTGGCTTCCACTTTGAGGAGACTTGCGTGACGATACTAAAAACGACTGCGAGGGAGACTACAATAATTATTGCAGCTTTTTTCACGCTTGACCGAAGCTTAGAGAGACAGTATCAAAGAGGCCAGTAAGACTTTTAATTCTTTTCCAAATGGAGGAAGATATATCGCCGACTTCGTTAAATGTCACCGCAGAAAGTAGTTCAAAATTTAAACTGGTAGTGAATGCATATGGATGCTTTGCTGAGTCCGATGAACACAATGAAGGTCATAAATTACGAAACGTCTAAGCACCAGGTGAGGTTTTCCTGAAGCCCGATTCGACTGTGAAATGTTTTGATTCCTCAATCTATTATTTTGTGTTAATTCTTAGGAAGCTTAGGTATGTGTTCTCGAAAGAAGAAGCGAGAAGTTGTGTTTGCAAAGCGTCGAATCGGCACTGCGTACAGTCTTGTCGCTGTAATCGCTGTATTACACTTTCTTTAGGTTTTGCTAAGGATTGGTTTGCTAGAGTTCTCGCTACTTTAGAGCCGGCTTTAATCGTGATACGCCAGACGATAAGTTTACGTTGAGGATATCACTCGCCTCGTAGGTTAAATTAAATAAAGCATTGTTCATGTTAGATTGACTCGCTTGTTTTGCTTTCAACTGATTTCAACGGGACCTTTGTTTACAATTGAACATTCGAAGTAGAAGGAACTCGGCAAACACGCTGTCTGCAGAATTTACAGCCATCTCTCCAGGGATTAAAAAAACGGATTCATGGAGACGAATGTACTTCGGCGACCCCCGTCGACGCGGTCTTCCAACCATGCTTCCAACCGTTGTTTCGATGGAGCCGCCATCGAAAGTGCTGCAGTGAAACAAACACTTACAGAAACAAAAAGGCTCGATACCATTCCAAAATATCCAAAGAGATGTAAAGGAAAATACCAAAAGGACTTGTTGAGACTTTCTTTTAAACCAGATTTAGCGAACTGTGGAAGATTAACAAAGATTGACTTTACACACTAAAGGCAGCGATTTTCAACTACGCGAAATGTTTTTTCTGGAGTTCAGGGCGCGCAATGCATCTAGGGTGAACATGGGCCTTTAATTTAAATGCAAAAAATTGCTAATGAACGTAAACAGAGTGCCCATCGATCCAGCCCCATTGTCTAAAACTCGCCTTGACAACTCTCCTAAAGGTTACTGTTCTTTAAAAAACGCGCCACGCTGCCAATCCCTAGCCAAAGACTTTGGAACGGAAATGTACCGCATTGCCAGGCATCTTTATGATCCTTATCTTTCATCGCACTCGTATGGAAATCACGGGCCTCTGGAAAAAAGACACAATCGCAATGGAACATTGAAATGGATTTACTTGCGAAAAAGAAGATCCCAGCAGGTTTTGTGATAGCCATTCAAGTTTGAAATAAAGAGTTTGAGTTCCACTTTTGTGTCTCAGTTTGTTTAGCGCTTTCGAAATATGCTGGCTTTTAGATTGAACACATAATAGATTGTGCCTGTGCCAATCAGGGCTCGGAAGAGACAAGCCCAGGCAAAGCTTTATGTTGTCCGGGTTGAGGTTTTGTTCGATTGCGTATGTCTGAGACGAAGCGAAGAGGTGTCCAGAATTATTAACAGTGGCGGATCCAGACCTTCAGATAAGGGGGGAGGGGGTGCTCATCCGGACCCTGAGAAAGGGTGGGGGCGGGCAGTCTCAAAAACAAATTTTATCGGCCCTTCGGGCCTCAATTTGGTCTAAAAATAAGGGGGCGCCGGGCCGGGCCCCTCCCCTAAATCCGCCACTGATTAATGCCGAAGTTCGAGGTATTTATCAAACTTATTTCATGACATTATTCCTGATAGATCTTTATAAAATGGAAAGCACATGTGTCTGTCTTAATATTATAAAAACTGAACCAAATTTTGTGTCGCTGTTTTCAATTATTCAATAATTAGGATCTTTTGTTCAAGAGAACAATGCACTAGCCGCGCGCGCGCACGCTCACACCTTCATCGAATATAAAATAAATAAAAACAATGAAAGTTACAAAATTGTGAGATTTTGAGAAACGTTTTGTGGCGTCCTCAAGGAATTTTACGTTGTTTTTTCGGGTTTCTTTGTTCTGTTGTTTTGACCATTTTATCGGGGTGTTTGATGGAGTTGGTCGGTCCATGCTTTCATGTTATCATGGAGTTCACGGAGAGCGACATGGAAGGGCTTTTTCTGACACACTATTGTTTTTCGCAAGAAGCATGGGAACCTAATTTTAGCATGGTAAGGACAGACAGATTCACAGAATGCTTCAGCAGACCGTAGAATGATTGCTATCGTTGGCTATGAAGAATTTGAAAACAAGAAGGCATCTTGAATACCTCAAAATACACGGATAAACACATCGTGGGCAGTCCGTGTCTGGTCTGAATTGAGTGGGAGGCGGAACACAACGATTTTATCGTTGGAGACAATGAGACAGTTCCCCAAGTCAATCCTGAGATTTTGAATATCACTGACAAGGACGAACTTAATTATTGGCTCAGCAAATTCGTCGTCGAAGTTTAAACTGGTCTAGAGGAGGAATTTTATGCCGTCCAGTTTTCTAACCCTCTGAGAACAATGCCAATCTGCATTCTGCGTTCTGCAAAATACCCCTGCCCGTCAGAAACAGCAAAGTTGAAATGCAATTAACGGCAACGAGAACTTTTATGGGAATAAATTTCCATTATTTTTTTCGTTTTTGGCTTTGTTTGTATAAAATCCCTCAGTCGAGGGATTTATACAGACAAATTCCTATTTAATAGTCTATGAATTCAATTCATCAGCCCCGCTCTTCCCTGTTACGTTATCAAGCCCTGCCCGGACTTTCAGTTTGTTGAATATTCAAGAGGGTTGTACGTTAAATAAAGGTTGTTGAATAACAAAAGAAAAGGTGTGAATCATGAAACAATCACGCATAACACGATATTGGTTTATTGATAATGATCAAAGACTATGTATAAAAGTACTTGTTTACTGCCTTTTTTCAGTTGGTTAGTTTTAACTAAACTGCAAAAAAATTGTTAAACACATAAAAACTGAGTTGACCACACAGACTTTAAAAATTAGCTATAATGAAATTAAACGTCTAACCTCGTTTATGCAATCATGTCCAATCCTGTAGACGAGTAGAATTATAAGATTTAACATTGGTAGTGGAAAGCTCAACTTGGCAAGACAGACATACATCTCATCAGTCCGCTTCGAAATTTTTAAGGAGTCGCACGGATGGTAAAATATTGTCGCATCGACAAAATGATTTGTCTTGTGGAAAAAAGCATCACATGAGCAGATAGAGAAATCGATTGCGTATCTGATGCGTAATAGCAAGAGCGTGGCTCGTTCTTTAAGCCACAATTGACATAGACACTTTATTTTACGTGGTGAATATGTTTAGCCATAAGGCTAGTTTACAGACGTAATCCATCTATGGTGAGGTTACAATCTCTTTAAGTAGTAGAACCATGTTGCGCAGGTAGGTACGTCCATCGCTTGTTCGTGTATGCCAGTGAGGAAACACACTGCGACTTTTTCAAATAATTTGAGAGCTTTTAAAGCGGAGAAATATGCTATATTATTGTCTTTTTTTTTTCAAAAATCGCCTCTCTTTATATTTTTTCAACGATCGTCTGTTATACTTCTCGATGATGATGGTGTTAACAAGTTAATTATCATGGCCAGCTTTATTTTAAGCAGCGAAACAAACTGCAAATAATTTCATCTGGTGTACAGATAATGTATTTATTTACTAAGTAAACAATGTAAGTGTAGTCTGCATTAGAGACTTGTATACATGTGCCAATAACGGTGCTTTATCGGTTAGGGGATTTCTTTTGGTAACAGAGAGCAGTGCAAAACCAGAAAAAGAGTGAAGTACTCCACGATGATCACTTGAAAACCGCTCTAATAACAGCAAGTAAAGTTGTTGTTCCAGCGACGAAAGCAATAACACCACTTTTTATACTTGCAAATGTGTTGCTAGCAGTAGAAGCAACTCTTCTTCCTTTAGCCGGGGATTCGGGTGCCCAGGTTTTACGCGGCGAAACTGAAAGAGAAGAAGACGAGTTTTTTTGTCATTTATTTTTTTCCTGAGGCTCGCCCAGTCTTCTTTTTTCTGAGAATATCCAATAAGTGAAAAAATCCTCGTTGAATAATCAGATTTTGAAATGTAAAGCGCAGTTTCTAAAATTTACGAAACAGAATAAGTGAAAGCGGAATTATTGCGGGGAGTTTACCGTTATTTTGGTGACTGGGAGACGGGTAAAACACAAGATTAAGGAGGTTGACCAATGGTACAGGAAACGTTGAGTAATAAAGCAACAAGAGGTCACATACCTGAGGCAGACTGGTCTGTTTTACTAGGACTGTAGGGAACTGTTTCAAAATCATTCGTCGTTTTAAGAGTGCTGGCTGTGCTCCGAAATTCTGAAAAAAAAATTAAAGCGTGAACGGATACAATGATTATAAAGACCGTTCTCAGGAGCGCATCAAATAGGGCTTCCATCTCCCAGACAAGCCCTTAACTTTTATTTCATCCCAGCGGCTGAAAAATGGTAAAAATGGACGTATATTAAAAAATGAAAACAGTCGAAGGACGGGCTTCTGAGTTCGACTCCATCAAACTTTATTTTTTCACTGTGACAGACGAGACTCACGCAAATATAACACTTTTCGCGGGAAACAAGCCGTTCTATTTCTAAGTCTGCTCGGGAAAGGGAAATTAATGGAGATGGAGGCTCCAAGTGATCATGATGGGCTACTGCAGTTCTATATTTTTGCTACTAGCTCTCCTTTGAAAGCACGAATCTTTATGAAAATCTGTTTGCGGAAATAATAAAACATTGACATTGAATGTTGAATTCATCTAAACTATAAAACATTCAGGAGGCACCCCTGTTTTAACAGCTGAACGTAAGCACAAATTTAAAATGATGGTGTTGCTGTTTCTAGTGACCTTAAATTTTTTAATTGTGTATTTGGATAGTATCAGTTAGTGCATATAAGCGTGACTTCGAATAGCAGTAGAGAAACTGAGGTTTGCATACTTGGATTGAGATCTAACTGCTTTGAAACTTCAAACGGTCCAAGATTACCATCACTGACGTCATCTTGCAAGGGCTTCAAAGGACTGGCGACGTTTTTGTGGAACTTGAGCTGCACAACAGCGACAAAACCAGGTCTAACAAAGAAGCGAATTATTTATGTACTACATATGTACCATTACCTTTTTTCCTTTTTTTCCAATACATAAAACCTTTTATTACAAACGTAGTGATAATTTTCCTACGCGAAGGACTTTATATACTCTCATCCGGAAATAATGCTTTTAAGCCATTGTGATCAATGGGTTTCCTGCCAAGTTTCCGTGAATATGTAACGAGAAAATCTTATGCAATGGGGTTGTTTTGAATAAAGTAAGTGCTATCTCTTAAAAAAGTGATCAACAGTCACGAGAATACTTAATAATTACTTAGTTCTGGACACTGTAAGAGAGCCTTCAAAACAATGCTTCAACTAACCATGCAAGCAGATTGGCGTGACAAATTGAAAACAGAATCATGGATAAAATGAAAATCGTAAGATGTAAAAAGAAGGTCTTCATTCCTTGTGTTTTGAAATGTGAATTTTCTAAAGAATTGCAATTAAAGTTTACCTGAATTTTACAGCAGTCATTCCGTAAAATTGATAATCAGCATTATTGGGTGTTGTGTAAATGCTTGCGATCTACAACATATAAATTATGCTTCAATGTTAGAAAAATTAAAAAGCACTTGCAATATTTAACAACAAATTTCTCAAAAGTCGCGCAAAAAGCACAAAATAAATATTACAGGCTTCATTACGACTGACAGGCCTTCCTTTAAAAAGAGTATAAATTTAAATTGAATGATCTACACTGTTCGTCTGCCATAAGGACAAGTCCAAAGCCGATCCTTCCCTTTAAATGATATTTCCCTGAAGTGATCTCCCTACAGGTAGTTTTTCAAACTATGGTGTAGTGATAGTATAATAGGTGTGGTTACAATAGACCTTTTCCCCAAAGCTCCCCTATCCCGGCTTATCCCGCATATGAATTAAGCTTTGCTATTCCCAGATAATGCAAGCTTCAAACACTAAGCTTATTGAATTTATGGATGTAGATAATTAAATCAACATGGATGGTTATTCTGTTGAGGAGCTTAAAAATGACAAAAAAAAATAAAAGATTAGGCCCACTTACATCTGTTGACAAATTGGATTTTAACATCGTGTATTCACGTGTTTGAGGCTTTGCTAACTCCTGCCTCCATTGTACGTTTGTTATGGTAATTCCAACTTCAAGGACTGTGCACTGACCAGGAGGACCTAATGTATTGCAGTATTTGAAAATCATGAAAAACAGCTAAGGCTATGTCTAATGCCATGCTCACAGCATGCCGAATATGCTATCCGGTATAGTATGAGCAGCAACGTCACAGTGACTGGAACAAGTCGTTAACATTCATCCTGCCGGAGCGGTTGGCAGAGAAGGTTTGATGAACCAAATCCCTGTCCTCACTCCTGAATATTTACATCCGTCTCAGTGGAATCCAGTCCTTGCTCCGAATCCGCTACGATCCAGATGCCTGTTCACACTGCACCAAAATGTGGCATCAGAAAATGAGCTATCCTGTATGTGTCGCTACACTTCAGAGATCGGCCAGGCGGGGCTTCGCTCCAATACAGAAATCGTGCCGAAATCACCGTTCTTGTGTGTGAACAGAAGCCCTATCCGGTATGGTTTTCGTGCCGGCCAAATGTTATCCGGTACAGGGTGAACATAGCCTAAGCCCCAGTTTGCGACATCTTTCAACACTGGGCATTTATTCACGACCAAGAGCCAATTACACTGCGCACGACCCATTGAGCTTTGCTATTGGTTAGACGTTATTAAGAAAACAGAGAAACCGTTTTTTTTTTCTTTTGAAAACTTTTAATAGCATTTTCTCTTTCGTTTTCAAGAAGCTAGAGTGGCTTTCGGCTACGCCTCTAGCAACTCTTAGGCTTCTTTAGTTCTTAGCAAACTACCGGCGGGCATCCGTAACGCGATGGCTGTACGCTGCACGTTTATCACTTCTTAAATTAATATAGTCCGACTTACATGTAGGTAGGAAGATGTGTGTAGTGTTATTACTTACAATGGATGGTTACCATGGATATGCTACTGGCAACGCCATATCTATTGCTGGCTGTGCATCTGTATGATCCAATATCTTTCCTCTGTACGTTAGCAAGATTCAGCTTGTGACCAGAGACATGAAACTTGCTTCGTGGTACTCCATCTTTTGCCCACTTGATATTTGGTGTTGGGTCACCAGATGCGTTGCATGTAAGGGTCAGTTTCTGTCCCACACTGACCTCTGATTCCAACACCGGCGCCTTTGTTATTCTTGGAGGAGCTGGAAATAAAAACAGGGTGTGTGTAATACACACGTCCCTTTTAATCAAGCTGTGATTTATAGACAGAAAATAAGACAGCTACGAGACACCTGGTCCATAGGAATTACGGTTTTAAAACCCATTCACAGTGGTTATTTCGATCACACAGCCACATTGGGTTACGTTTCCATGACACATACCGCAGACCTAAAGGAATCAGGACGCGCAAGATCGGCTTACAGTATAAGCTTCGCTTTCCGCCGCTGCCGTTCAGCCAACAGTTTTGGCGCCCACAAAGAACTGGCTAGCGGTCATTTATTTTCAAAATGGCGGTTTTTGTGTAACTCTTTGAGGGATTTAAAGCTCTAACGACGCGACGACGATGACAACGTCGCTTAAAAAGTGAATTTGCGTTCTTGTCTTTACCGGAATTATTCCCACCCACTGATTGGCACAAAGCTCCCATCAAATAATTCTTCATAACCAACCAGCGTCGTCCAAATTTTGAAAATGAGAGCAACATGCAATCGATTTGATGGCACATTAGCTTGGAAACGAGGTTAATCGATGGTATATTTTCCTGGAAAAGATCAACCTCTTTTCCAGGCGCAGCCTACTAACTGTTTATTCACAAATGAACTAAAAAATGAAAAATGAAATGTTAGAACCAATTATTAAATTCGGCTTTCGTATGATGTGAAGAATTATGCAGATCTCGAAGGCTGTTATCCACCGGCAATAGGCTCCTCCATCTGCATAATTTTTAACATCATAATCAGTCTCATCCAATTATTGCCAAATATTTAATGCTGTATAGAATGTCTTAGAAATACAGTGTGCATAAAACGAGAAATGACACGAAATATTTAAGTTATTAGCTGATATTAACCGTGGGAGGTAGAGTTCCTGCTTATATCATTTACATATCAAATTTCCCGAGAATATTCGCGCCATTCAAAGTTCCGGGGACGATCGAATAGGACAAAAATTAAAGCGCCAAAACATGCTTTCGATACAAACAGGAATGCGGCAATTGTTGACCCAACAATGTCGCGAGTTGTTGCGTCCGTTTGTACTTAGCTTAACGTTTGACCGGTCTCAAACTTTTGGCATACAACTCACAGCAACACGCAACAACATGCAATAACATCTAAAAGGGTGTGCAAACGGACGCAAAATGTATCATCCAAAAATGTTGCGTCCGTCTGCACGGGGCTTAATGTGTCAAATAGAATAAAAGCAAACGTAAAGGGTCCAAAATACTATTTTCAGATCTCTCAGTTTTGCTGATTGGTTTGTGGAAGTTAAAAGGTATTCTAAATTAAAAATTAAAATCGTTCTGAAAATAAACTGATCTATGAAAACCCTTTGACAAGAGTACATGAAAGTTACGCGTCTTCTTGCACACGCACCCACCATTGTTTCATCGACAAAACAACAAAAAAACTTTAATAATAGAGGCACCCCAGTTCCTTCCCGTCCAAGAAATATGATATTGATCATAACTGCTAAAATCGTTTTATCAAAAAATCTCAAACCTGACTTTCGAAATGGGTTTTTTGTTTTGGCGGGGTAGTAGCACGGTAGATGCTCATTTCAAGGGAGCCTTGAAGAACTTGTAAGGCTGATGACTGACATTTACAATGTAAATTCTGGCGCAAAATATTGAGCTTTTGAATATTTTAAAGCAAAATAAAGAACAATATATTGAGAACAATATACATGTTATTCAAGTTAATCACTTTAAATTCGGTAGCTTAGCGATAATCTTTGAAACAGTATCATTTCAATTACGATTCTTGTCAGATAAAAAAAGTTCCATAAACGCCAATTATAACGCACATTAAATCGTTTAAGGGCAAATGAAAGCGTTATACGAATGCTCTATAATACAATCTGACGGGGATCAAATTTTATCCAGTTCTTGCTGTGTATCTCTTGGGCATTGCAATATACTAAGAATATATATAGGCTACTTGTTTTCGAATGGAAGAAACTGAAATAATCCATGAAAATCACCTGCGTTAAATAAATTGCCAAAATAAGGAGTGGTCTTGCTTACCATAAACAATCACCTCGACTTGATCTTCAAGAGGGATTTGAACAATATTGTTGCGAACGTAATTTACAATAATAGAGTAAAAGTATTCCTTGTTGTTATTCACATCTCTTAATACCAACGTATTTGGAAGTTTTGCGTCGTACTCCTTCAGGAACACGCTATTGAGAAAGGTAAACGCGTTATTAGAGTGCCTGGACGCAAGGACGATCGGGGGATTGCCTCTTCTCTGTCTTTGTAGAAACACGCTTTGAACAACGTCGCCGGAATGCAGAAGGAAGTTCCACTCGAGTTTTACTCCAGTGCTGTTCACTCCTTCTACTATGATGGTCGGTTTGGATGGCCGATTTATCCATACGATGGCATCTAAAATCAGACGACATTAGAGACATGATTTGCCACCGCAGGTAAAAATAAAAATAATAATAGCAATAATGATAAGATATTTTCAGCTATGTACATTTTAGTGGCAACTCAAATCGACAAAAAACTGATAATAGGTAATTACCCGACTGAAGCAATGACGCAAAGATCACAAGAGCTGAAATGATCCAGCTAGTTATACTCCGTAGAAATGCCGTATCCATATCCTTGCAAGAAACTAGACGTTAGTCATCCCTCTGATGTGAAACTGAGAAAACTCAGAGAACATTAGAAGCATTTATGGAATGTGTTGCAAGCAAAAAGCCATTCAGGCGTGAGAAAACTAAACTGCGAGCAGTAATTAACGGTAATTAATATATGATTTGTGGTCCTGCTGCTTGTGCGTCCTGATCTCTGCTGTTATTGGTCACCACACATTCAACACTGAATCCTGATGTATTTTAGGCGTTCACGGTTTCTGAGTTTGATTATAACGGTTTTAGAGGTTTGTCTGATCTTGTGTTCCCTTTAAATCAGAAAATGTTGAGGTTATTTGCCAAATATTAAAATCAAACCACCTGTCTTCCAATACACACAAGGTACAGTCCATCTAATTTTGAATAGGGCTTTTCCGGGAACAGGAGCCACATACGGCAAATACTAGCTCATCTTTTACAATCGGGTGCACTGATCTGAAACCTCCTAAGGTGGCACGCGTATCGCGGTTTAGATTTTTTCTCTAAATCTCCGACCAGTATTAGCCTTTGTAATACTCTTATAAGAACTACACTATATCCAGTAACAGCCATGACTCTGGCCTGTTCCAAACGTTCATTTGGTGGAGGAGCCTCTCAAAATGAGGACAAGTGTCAAAAAAAAACAAAACACAAAACAAAACAGAACAGAACAGAACAAGAAACAGAAACGAAACTCCTATCCCCGTTTTATTTTCTGCTCCGTACCCGGCCTTATCTTGCCTGATTATACTAACTGAATCCTGTTAGCCAATGGTTCCTTTGAAAAATAAAGCTAAAAATTCGGTATATTACCCTAAGAAAAGTTCCTTCCGCTCGATCAATCTGAACTTGATAGAGGCGGCATTTATACCCCAGCTAAAGAAAGCCTCTATGCGTTTGAGATTCTTGAGCCTCAAACTTAGTCATGCAATTTACTCGATATTTCTTGGTGTGAAAGTAAGATTAATTTGCATTGCAATATCCATTGTACGCAGTGTGTTCTTTTCTTGTACTACCTACAATAGTTAATCTTAATTTAGTTCCTTCCTGTATGTTTCTCTCTGTGTTTATTGTATTTTACGGTTTTGAATTATGCAGCTTCAATAAACAATGAAAAAAAAATGGAATTGTGCTGTGATCCTTTGTCCATATTTATAAACGGGTTTAATGCAAAAAGGTTAAGTATGTATTACAGCAGTGTACTCTGCGTTATAGAGGCACGCGACCTAATAAAATCACATTGATGACACATACTCAGCATAACTGATAACAAGTACAAGTAAGATATTTCAGCTAGCAGGGTTTCGCTTTGTTAAACTTTTCACTTGTTTTGTTTATTGGGGTACGTCCAACGTAACTTTTTTTCACTTTTACCAACTAAGAGCTGGTCTTACTGTGGTAATCATTGAAATCCGGAAATTGCTGTAGTAACACTGAGTACGAACCTATTCTCTCTAATATCTGAATCCTTGAATCTCTGATATTGCTCCGATCGGTTTACCCATCACGGCCCAATAGATAAGAGCCGAAAGAAAACCGACATATTTTAGCACGGTGCCTTCTAATACAAAGGAGATTTGGGGTCTTATTAATGACAATCCGGAAAAAGGAGCCTTCTAGCGAGTATTGATGAACGAGACGGAAGGCAATGATGATTCCACAATCTCTTATCTACAATTTATATGTTTACCGGGGATCAGTCTACCTTAGGCACGTGGGCCCCGTTCACACGTATCTTTTTGTCTGAATAACGTAACAGGAGAGTTCTTTTTTCCGTTTTCGAACAAATTCGTATGAAAAAACGCAATAGTGACTGAAAGTAGTACCGTCTTTGATGGGGAGTGCGTGCCGATTTACTGGTATCCAACACCGGAACGTAATCAACGATTTTCAAAAACCTCCGTTTCCATCAATCTATATTACACACGAGTGCAGCTAGCAATTACGGTGTTTTAAAAATCTTTTTCGGTGACTGTTTTCAACAAATGCATGTGGAGGGGAGCCAAGCTAGATAAAAATATCCTTGTCAAACAAAAACGAAAAAACGAAATACTTTTTCGCGAACGTTCCGTGGTCACCTTTGTATCTAACTACTGGGCACCGTCCGAGAAACAAGCTGTACCGGACCTCTGAGTGAGGCGTAAAATGTATAGCTAATTAACGATGTGCATAAACTAACTGTACTGTGATAACAGATTAAGAAAGTGCGTTGATCATGTACATTAGAAACATTTCGTGAAACGTTTGCCACTGAAGAAGATTCGAAAACGACAATCTGGAATAACAAAGAAATAAAAGTAGAAAACAAGCCGGTTTATTATAAACATTATGTTAATGCGAGGGTCATTTGCATTCAGGATCTTTTATTTAGTCTGAACAGTACTGATTCTTATAATCAACTGTCTAAAAAAAAAAAGCAAAACAAATATTTTAGAATGGGCTGGCTTACGCAGGTCCATTCCATTATCGATAAGAAGTTATGACAGGTATCCTTCCTTAAACTCACCAACATTTGTGGTGGGTGACAATAATTTTGATGTTAGGAAAGGCAAATCAAAAGAATTACTACAACCTACTCATCAGAGAAAAAGCTAAACCGCCCAATATTATTCAAAAATTACAGAGTAACTTTCATTTTAACAGCGACAATCTGAAGCAAATATTTAAGCTGCCACACTCTATCGTTGTCGAATCGTATGTTAAAGCCTTCCAGTACAAAGTAATTAACTCAATTCTTTACACAAACACAAAGTTGTATAAAATAGGTTTTAGAACAAATGATTTATGTACTTTCTGTGACAACCAACCTGAATCATTAACCCATTTGTTCTATCACTGCTCACGCTCTAAACCAGTTTTGGATTGAATTTGAACTATATTGGTGCCTTATTTCGAATCAACGAATTCGTCTCTGCTTGGAAAATGTGCTCTTTGGAATTTTGACGGAAAATGCTTGCCTTTTACTTCAATTGCTGAACCATTTTATAATTATTGGAAAACTCTACTTGTGGGACTGCAGGAGCAAACAAATCCTTCCAAACATTTAAGGATTTAGAGCCAAGATCATCGCTAAATATGAAACAGAAGAAAAAATCAGCAACAAAGAATTCTTTAATAGAAAGTGGATACTGACGCCTTATTTAAGTTAACTGTATTAACTCCGTATTATTTCATTGCCCTGTTGTACTTTTTTATAATTTCTTTTAGCCTTGTAATAATTTGACAATTAATTTTGCTTTACTCTGTTCATGTCTCTTGTTAAAGTATTTTTTTGTTTTTGTTTTTGTAGTATTGTAAATGTAATTATTCAATGTGATTATCGATAAACATAAAAAAAATGTACATTAGAAGCCGCTGTTATGCGAAATAATGTTTTATTTCAGGTAGAAATGCATACAGCGGGAGGGTACAAATTTCGAGCCGTGAATCGTAGAGCAAGAAAATTAACACAAAGTTGCATTAATAACTTTAAAATGCAATTCTTTTAGAATTATCCTTGTCTTAATTATTGCTGTTTTTTATCTTTATCGCTCCATTCGGTGACAATTTAGTTTTGTACTTTTTAGACATAACATACATGTAAGGAAGGAGAATCTTTGTTCCCAAATAACACTCTTAGATGAGTTTGTAAATTGATGTACGCCTGAGGTTTTTGAAAAATAACGCCTTTAGGTGAGTTATTTTAATGTTTTGGAATCTCAAGGCCATTCGGTAATACCATATACTTTAACGAAACCTTAGTTAAAGTGGCTCGTTCTTACTATTTCAATATACAAATACGTTGTATATATTTATCTTGTCGTTCAGTGGAATACAGAAGTATCAAAAACCCCTTAGGATAAAGAAAAAGAACACAAAAACAACGGTAACTTCAAAAAATGTACGAGCAAGCCCACTTTGAAGTAAAACGTTTAATGTAAACTATGTATACCATTCAAAGGCATCTCGTGGTTCAGAGATTGGACAGCTGTTCGGCAGCCCATTATAGGAAATCAGTATTCTCTATATTCACTGTCACGCCATTGAAGATAAAAATGCAACCATTCCATACAGAAAGGCCAAAATCTAGAAAATGAAAGAAGTTGAATGTAATAAAAGCCTCAACAAGAGTCAAGTCTGCGCAATATTTCGTTCGCGAGATATTCGGCCAAAACGCTTTGTGTGGAGACCCCATCAGACGCCATATTGGTGTTCCTTTGAGGGGCACAAATATGGCCGCCGGAAACCAACAGAAATATCTGTCTTTGAGTTTTTCTACAAATGCGTGAAATCATCACTTGAGGACCTTATAAGGATAAAAGGAGAGGGTAAAAGTGAAAAGGAATTAGTGGGGGAGTTGTATGCCTCACTTAAAGGGAACAAACAAAACATGTATAATCTAAATATTTGAGTAAAAAGCATCACAAAAATGCATGATAGCAAAGGTAGAACGGTAGCTTTCACTTTGTAAATAGAATTTTAAATTTGCCACTTAAATCCTTATTTTAGTTGCCATCTTGGATTTAAAAACAAACCGTTTGATTCCCGCTTAATTTAAACACACGAGTTTTTTGAAGAAGAAAATTTGAACTATATCTACTAGGCATCTGAGATATCATTTTAACATTATTTATGATTACGTCATACATGACGTCATAGTGACCGCCATTTTGCTTTCAGAGTTAGCGTATTCAACTTACAGATATCTCAATCATCTATGTAAGAAAATTGTCATTAATTAAACATTGGAACTTCTTCATTTTCACGTTGCAAACCTGCTTTGTGATGAAATGGGCAAATTTCGGGGAAGACTGAAAAGTTGCTTATATTCTTTCAACGTAAACAAATCTTGTTTTAGCGTAGATTTAAAACATATTTGAACTAAAAACATGACTTCCGTTTATTCTAGTGCTTTTAAAATTATAACTACCTGAAGTCCTATGCGAATCAACATCGCCTGAAAAAAAATATGAGGTTTAGAAAACTGTGTCAGAAAATAGTAAGGAAATAAATCATATTTTTACATTGCAAGTGTGTTCTATAGAGTCTCCTCTTGAAAACTGTTCATGGGTGGACAACCTTATACGCGTCC